CTTGATGGCTAGGCCGAGTAGCTTTCTTGCTTTTCTCTCGTCCACCTTACGCGCTTCTATCTCATTCCGATCATTTCCTCTTCTTGCTCGTTGAGTTCTTCTTCTCAGGCGCTGGCACTCTCTTCATAGATCCGCGATCTCATTATTCCACCAGTAGACTGGGGGTCTTCCTTTTTTGTCGTCCTTCCTTGGCATTGACGCCGCGCAAGTACGCTTGAAGAGTTCCATTGTTGCTTCCACGAGGCGTTCCGCATCTTCTGTACTTTCCGCCGGCATTTCCGCTAGTGTTTTTTCTCCTTGCTGTATCACTGATCTGAACTTTACTTCGTTCAGCTTCGCTAGATTCCATCTAGGGGCACGCTGTTGTTTTCTTCTCTGCTGGGATTGGCCAGTGGAGAAGGTGATGTATAGATGATCGCTATTGTTAAATTCATCTAGTACCCCCAGTCATTTATAGATCCTGCTATATCTTCTGATGCAAAGGAGATATCAGGCACAGTCTCTCTTTGGTTGTCTCTTCTGAAAGTTGTTGTACCGTCGTTCAGCACCTCCAGTCCGAGTCTGGCTGCCATATCCAAGACCTTTTGTCCTCTCGAGTTGGTCTCCGCCGATCCCCATTCCAGGGCCCTGGAGTTGAAGTCTCCTCCGAGAATAATGCTGCCTTGCATGTTTCGTAGCACGTCCTCCATTCCGTCGAGGTATTCGTCGATACTGTCTGGTTTGCCGGGGGTGATAGGTCTGAAGTAGCAGCTCACGTAGGTGATCATGCCGCTTCTTATCCAAGCGAATCCGTTCCCATTGCCTCTATCGTCTATAGTCAGGTGGTCTGGCTCTGGAATCCAAACCGCAGCCTTGTGCAGCTTATCCGCGATCCAGTTCGATCCGTCTATTTGTGCTGTGCCGATTTCGCTTATCAGTGCAATGTCCACCTTTTTTTCTTTGACCATTACCTGTAGTAGAGCGAAAGTCGCAGGGCAGCGACGGATGTTTCCTTGTAGTACCCTTGTCATCTTCTTGCTGTCTTAAAGTTAGGCTTCCCCCATGCCTCGCGGTAGGTCTTACATTTTCCTGTTCCCAGACCGTGCTTCGTGTCCTCTTCTGGTACTCCCGCGTCTATGCAGGCAATACATTTTTCTTCCTTTGTGCAAGCTCCTGCCTTATGCCCTATTTCAGCGCATTTGTAGCAGTAATCTGTTCTGTCTGGGCCTTTACACGTGTATGACGTATGCCCGAACCCAAGGCATTTGTAGCACCGTTTTACGGGATTGTACTGCCTGATCCTGCAGCTAAAGGGGCCTACGAGTAAGACTTTCATTTTCATGAAAGTAACCGCATTCCTAGCTGGTAAGTTAACAAAAGCCATCACCTGTTCCCTCTGATTTGGGTTTGAGAGTTTCACTACAGGATCCTCAGCCAACCCCGGGATGGCCTTTTTTACTGCTGTTTGGACCTGCTCTACTGTATTTCCGCTGTTTAAGTCGAAGACCCTGACAGTGGTACGCCCCTGGCCGGTACGCTTTATAATTGGCCGGTGGCTTTAACAGCTGTTGTCAGGGCGTTAGTAGCAGCGGTGGTACTCCCAGTCTTACCTTTAAACTTTATCAGCAAAGCTCCACTCCGTGTTTTGCTGTACTTATCAATCTTTGGTCCCTCCTCAGGTATCGTAACCTCGTTAATACTTTTGAGTATATCCGCGAACGATTTTCCTGGTGCGGGTTTGATGATTACCGCATCTTGTGGGGGTCTCGGCTTTCTCCTTCTGTTCTTCTTCTTTTCCTTCTTTTTCTTCTGCTGGCGTTCTGATACGGGTGTTCCCTGTGCCGCTTGCCTACCTAGGTTAGCGCTATTCCTTTGTGCGCGTTGCAAGAGCTGATGTTGCTTGCGGCGGTCTCTTGGGTTGAGTTCCCAACCGCTATCCTCTGAATCTCCGAATATCGAGGATGCTGACGATGGAGGTTTGTTTCCATCTTGGGACCAAACATCGCATGTCGTAAAGGACGCTGCACTTTCGGTCCTAAAGGCTGAGCGAGCGCGCTCGCCGCGGCGAAGTTAATCTTGTAGCGATATTTGTGAAAAAGCGTCAATAAATGAGATCGCCATATGTAATATCATTGAATTAGAGTGTCCGTTTCTTTGTATCAACCTTCCCCAACCAGCGCGAACTTCGGCCTGTGAAAGTCAGCGCCGGCTTTCTTTATCGAGAAAGAACCCAGAAAATTTAGCAGAGACCAGCCCATGGCGCACGGAGGCTGACCACTCTTGCACACTATGTAAGTCACATATGAATAAATTGAAAATAATTGAAACTGTACCGTCGTTATTTACCTTTCCAAGTGGAGCAATGTGAAATGACATGACCATGAACCTCCAACGAAAGACGGAAGGTCTTCGAGATATCACCCGTTCGAATTTTAGAAGTGGTGGTCCAAACATTTAGGTGAAAAAAAATTCTGACTTCTGCTAACCTTGGGGGGTTAATCGGATCCCACAGATATTACATCATTTGAAAGTAGAATTTCCTGCTCTTTCCGTATCTGGTGTTAAAAATAGGGAGTTCCGTTTAAAAAAACAAAGTTGACCTTCAAATGACCTTGAAAATTACCTCTAAGGTCAAAGTCAAGATCACCACCATATGTCCCCCTCGAAATCCAACAACTTTTGTGTAAGACATTTTTTGTTAGCCCCCATATTTTCAGAGAAAATACATTCGAGCAATTAAAATGGTCCACCATGTATAAATAGGTGGGGGCAATTTTGAACACTGTTTGAAAGGAGGGGTTGCAGATGATCAACAAGAGCCTGAAGATGAAGATGATGATGACAATTGGAATGAGTCAGACAATTAAAACGATCTAGATTAAGACATGTACGCATAAAAAAAGGTAATTTATACAAAATAAAAGTAATGAACTCCTCAAAAATATCTAAAATTTTGTTAAAAAACTTCCTAAAAACTTGTTGAAAATCTAACATCGAAAAGTAGTGAAAAAAGTAGAGAAGTCGTAAAAAAATCATATAAAAGTCGTAGAAAATTATTCAGAAAATACAATGCAACTCAACATCGAAAATGCGTAAAATAGTTGTGAAAAAATCGTAGAAGAATAGAAAATTGATAAAATTATTAATTGAAATCAATAATACTTTTCTTATTTACAACTCGAGAAACTGAGGTCCATGCTGGGAGCTGCAATATTGCTTTTTGTGATTAGTTTTCTGTAAATGTTTATTTTTCTGTTTTTTGTTAAGAAATAACAAAAAATCTTTATAGAGAAACAAACTATAGTTTATTATTTCTTGTAACGTCGCGCAACATCGCATATCCTGATAGGTGGAAGCTTGTACCTTGCTGCCACCATTTTTTCCGCGAAATTCACCTTTTCGTTTACCTAAATATGAAATGGAAAGGAAGAATTATGTCTGTTTTATAATATTATTCTATAAGTTAATAACTTATCCAGCACACCATCGTAAATCGTTTTGGAAATAGACACCTTACCGGCTTTTCCGGTTGGTATCATACGACGGAACTCTTCCTTTTTTATTATGAGTTGTACCGAATTGGTTACCATTTTTTGGCTGTTGGTTTGGTATGTTGTCCAAATCAATTTGGACATATAAAATTTTGGAAAATATAAACTACGGAACCATCGAAAAGTCACACATATAACAATAATAAATTTTAATATTTTGTCAATATCAGTTGAATGTGCATATGAATGTATGTTTGTCTGAATGTATGTGTGATTATACGTAGCGATGTGTGTGCGCGTTTGTACGAACTGATAAGAGTGCGTGCACATACAAATGTGCGTGCGTATGTATGGGTGTGTGCGTTTGCAAACGTGTGTGGGTACAAATGTTTGTGTATGCGAGTATGCGCGTACGTGGGTGCCGATGCACGTACGTGTTTGTGTATGAGTATGTGTGCGTGAGCTTCCAAATGTGCGCGTGAATCCGTGTGAGATCGTGCGTGTGTGTATATTGCTGCAAGTGTACGTGCATACGAGCGTACATAAGTGCATGGCTGTCTACGAGCTTGCAAGAATGTGTGTTCTATGCGTTGAGTGCGAGTGTGTTAGTATTTACTTACCGATTGATGCCACCAGATCGACGTCTAGCTATTTCTGCCCGAATTTGGCTTGGTGCCTCTCACCTATGTGTCACACATTCTTTGTCACTACAACACTATACTCTATCGGATCACATAACTTCCACAACACCAAGGAAAATATTATGATTATTATTACAAAATATCTATTCATGTTTATTGTAATCGATCGATTGCTGAAAATGTCATTTATTTGCTTACGTTGAATAACATACCGATATCTACTAATCTCGAGATGGAGATGTTGCATTTTGAAAAGTAATCTTTGTTGTTTCTTTAATGACTTTTCGATTTTGCAATTAATCTAACTTAACGTATATTTAGTAAGCCAAACAATTAAGGTGCTTGATGACAACTAAATTTTTAAGCAGTTGCTTCATGATAAATCGAGTGTTCGGAATTTCTTTATTTATCTATCATTGGAATTTCTCTATCATTGTCATTACATTAATGACCTAGATAATGCTAATAAAACAGGGAGCAATCAAAATAATTTATTACAATATTCAAACAGCTGATCTATAAAAAATGGAATAAATGAGATAAATTGTGCTATAATTAAATGAAATATAAATCTTGAGTACCGGATTCGAACTGAACATTACGTTATAGTGTTAATAACCGAGTGAACTATTTATTTAGTTCTGTTTACCCTGCATACAACTGACTTTTATTAGCGACTTTGTATCTAGATCAAAACTTCACGCGTCCAGCAAGCAACAAAGATCAACTGGAAAGACACAACAAAATTGAATTGGTGGTCAAATTTGCAACTAAAAGCCAGCAAACAAAACGGGAATTAACAAATATTATCTAGTTATGTAAATGTATGTGTGCATGTGGGCGTGTATATTGTGTGCGCGTATGTGTATAGTTGCTACTATTAACTTACTTTGTTGTTATCGAATTCAAAGATTCGCAATCTAACCACTGTACCAATTTTGCTACATCATGAGGATTATCTGAGATACAACAAATAGATTCCGTAAGTTCTTTTTGGTCTACATGACAAAATGCTGTACTAAGGTGAATAAAGCATTGCAGGTTTTTCATGTTACGAGCAATACTTAGAACATTTCGTGTGCCAATCTGTAATCATTTAGTTATATATTATTATTGGACAAAATATTATGTACATTATATATTCACTTTACTAATACTCCTCGTTAAGAGGAAAAAACGGCAATAATACTACAACAATAATCACCGAATAGTATATAACAAATTTCGGAAATAAAAATATAAAAATGTTCTATAAGATCATAATTTTGTATAATTTTTAGAACAAATTGGAATTATTTCATCAAGATGGCTGTGTTGAGTGCGAATAGTGACTATGTACCATAAAAATAGAAATAAATAATAGACTATGTAAGAATATGATCTGTATTTTGTGTGATTCAGCAAATCACACAAAATACAGACCAAAGTATTAACTGAACTTCAAAGTATTAACTGAAATGAAGCAGTTGAAAAATTTTTAACTAATTTATTTACAGTTGATTAACATTTTTATATTAGTTATCTAAGCTTAGAAATTGATGATATGCATTAAGTAAAAACATTAGAATTTCAATAGATTAAATTATGTTAGTTATTAAACATCAGGCTAAAGAAAATTACTTGAAGATACTTTCAATAAAATGAGAGAGACGAATCACAATACTTCTAATTTGAATTAAGAAGATGAACTAAAATACCTATCTGGTAGTTAAAAACATTTTACTTGTGTGATGAATGAAAGCAAGTAATATGCTCTCTCTCTCTCTCTCCGTTCTACTTTCGGCAAGGCACAGCGGCCAGCGTTGGACGCATCATAGTAATGCGTCTAACGAGTGGCCTTTTGTTTCAGCCGTCGAGAATTGCCGAGAGTGGCTGAATCGGCTGGAAGAAGTAGCGAAAGAAGAAGTATGAGTGAGAGAGATAGAGCGAGAGAGAAAAAGAGCGCACGCACGAACTATGCAAGTTTATGTCAGTTGCGGGATACACCATAAGAAAATAGGAAGCGTAAACTTTTCTTAGATCATTTGATAATAAAACAACTCGTTATAGCAGTAGAAAACAGTAAGACATTTAATATGTGATAGATATATTTTTAATTTTCTTTTTTATAAATTTTCTTTTTATTTGCTTATTTTTAAAATTTTTATGATAAACAAAATTCAATCGCGCAACCTTCTCACGGTATACATCGGGTGATGCTAATGCCGACGGGTGAACCTTGATATTGTAACGGCGGCTCGACATAAAAAAAAAGAGCTGATACCCGTAAGTTCTGCGTTTCATGGTTTCGTTTCATTGTGTGTGTGTGTGTGTGTTTGTGTTAAATTTTTAGACGTAATAAAGTAAATTTTATTGAAAAAAAACGAACGGACTGGTCAGGGGATCGAAGCCGCGTCCTCTGGAAAATCCACAGACCGCTTCTTTACCGCTAGAGCCACTGTCACTAGTATCCCGGACAGTTTTTATTGTGTATTGCAACGATTGCCGAAAATTGTTATGACTCGCGCGGACCGTCAAGCGTAGCTATGCGTAATAGCCGTCATCGGCTTAGGTTAGAGAGAGAGAGAGCGGGCGCGTTAGGGGCAACGACCGAGAGGGGAGAGCTAGCGAGTTAGTATCGCAGAGTTCGTCAGCCTTGCTGCATCGTATCCTTCGCCAAGTTATTCACAGCAGATTACAGGAGCTATTTAGAGATATTCGGTGCCGAGTGTAGTGAGTGAGTGTGTGTCTTGCACTTCGTGCACAGCAACAGACTGCAACAACAACTTTGCAGCGGTATCTGCAGCGCAGCCCAGCAACAGCAGCAAAAGCAGATTGCAGCGGCAGCTCTTCGTTTTTGTTAGCGGATACGGTTGGCCACCGTATCCTAATCATCTTTGCGGTAAGTGCACTGCACTTTTGGCGTAGAATTTTGCGTGCGATCCCGCGCAGCGTGCGGGGTGAATTTCGTAGATATTGTAGTGCGTGCGATTAGTTCGTGGCGTCCGCGGAATTAATTCTCTCTCTCTCCCCGTTAGATTAATTTTGTATACACGGCGTGCGTCCAAGACTCTCGGCAACTCATCCCATGTATAAGATTTAGTTAGTCTAATAAAGTGGTTCGTGAACAATACAAGACGACCTTGTTATTTCGTCTCGCCTTGCACCGGTGTCTGTGTTTATATTTATATTTTGATTTGAACGCGCCGAGAACTCATCATAGATCACGAGAGCGACCGATAGAGTCGTTCGTCAATCGAGTTATCTGCTGCGGTCGACGGAGCGCTGGTAAGCGAGCGCCTCTAGCGGTTAGTACGAACATCGAAGTTGGATCGTTACGAGGACTCAGCGCATGCGCACACCGGCATAAGGTGAGTTAGCGTGCTCCAAGCACGTAGCTAGCAGAGCACCGATTGGCCTTTGCAGTAATAATAATTGCTTGGGATTAGCGACAAATCGGCAGCCTGTTACAGTATATATTATTATCTCATATATTTAATTAATAATCCTATAATTATAATTTGTTTGTGTGTGTGTATGTATGTTCACTGAAATGAAAGATATATTATTATTATTATTCATCATATTTATGATAAATTTTGTAATGATGGAAAGAAGGGAAATAGTGAGAAATGGAAATTCACTTAACTTTAATTATATTCAGCAACGTTTCGTCAGCACATTTGCTGACCACTTCAGGCTTTATTAATAAAAAAACAACTAATTATTAACAATAGAGTTGCACAAGTAATTTTGATGGTATATAATTATATGTATATGTGTATACCTGATTTTTCTCTTAGTCAAATTATTATAGGCTAAAACAGATAGCTCGTAGCACAGTTAAATTACAATAAAGTGAGAGATCAAGTACTTTAACTCATATATTTAATATCATTGGATGTAAATTCCTTATTCACAAATATATCGTGTGATTTAGTCTCATTGTCAGAGGGATTGGACATACGTTATGACCAAATTAAAAATTGTGAGTTACCATAGAAGAAATTGGGAAAGGTATAAAATTTTTATATAACACATATTTTGTGTTCAACAAAATTTATTAACAAATATTTGGAAGCTCGATGGGCTCACTTATCTCTCCTCTACTAGCTAATATTGTGATGGAAGACCTAGAGAAACATTGCCTGAGCGTGTTGCGGAATGAATATCAAATTAATCCTGTTTTCTATTGCAGATATGTTGATGATACTTTGATGTGCGTTCCGGAAGATAAAATTGATTTAGTTATTGAGACGTTCAATTCTTACCATAATAGGCTACAATTTACGTTTGAAATCGAAATGAATAATTTTATTCTATTTCTTGACTTGATTGATCAGAAATAATAATAAATTAGAATTTGACTGGTTTAGGAAAACAACACAAACTGACAGAATTTTGAATTTTAACTCAAAACATACAATTCATCAAAAAGTTAATATAGTTTCAAATTTAGTTGACCGAGTGTTTTTACTTACTGACAATAAATCTTATTCCAGCAATTTAAAAATAATTACGAATATCCTGAAAAAGAATAATTATCCATCTTTATTTATCAAAAAACATATATAAAAACGGATCAATAAATACAAAAAAGGAAATAATAATTCTAAAAAATTAGAAAATCAAAAATTATCTATAGTCGCTATTCCTAATAATTGCAAAATCTTCAAAAAATGTTCATCTGTGTTAAAAAAACATAACATTATACCTATCCCTTTATTACAAAAACCATCACAAGAATTTATCCGTTTAGGAAAAGACAAATCTGATTTATTAGACAACACTGGTATTGTCTACAGTTTTATCTGCAAAGAATGTTCAGCGGTCTATATAGCTGAAAGTAAGCGTTCCTTAAAAATTAGATTAAACGAACACAAAAAAAACATTCATTCAGATATAGTAGTAGCTACACATAGAAGAACCTTCTCACACGAATTTGACTGGAAAAAGCTAAGATATTGGATTATAAAAAGAATAATAAGAAACGCAGAATATTCGAAATGTTACACATTGGCTTACATAAAAACACGTTAGATAGAAAAGAGGATATACAATATCTTGTATATTAAAATAATATATATTAAAAATTAATATATATGAAACTTACACATGCACCGTCAAAGACGATCGGGAGCATGAAGACGCCGGCAGTAGTTGAAGTGGCGACCGACGCCTGCTGTAATAGTATTACACATATATTAATAAATTGATTAATTAAATGTAAATAGTATAATGAGAACATATCTGTTCTTCATATTAAATTTTCTATATTATAAAAATGAGAATGCACGAAGTAACTGTGCACTATGCTGATACGGACGAAAATCGAGGTGTAAAGTAATGTAAAAAGAATGCGATCGAGAACAAAATAAGAAATTGTAAGTACATGAGAGAGAGAGAAATTAAATTTGAATTAGAGTATATATATATATATAAATATATACTCTCTCATATACACACATACATATACATACATATACAATATTATGAGATATAATAAATTTTCAATAATATGAGCACATTTAGTCATTATATTGAAATGATTCTCTTTCAAATTCAATTTTACTCTCTTGTACTTACTTCTCTTGTTCTCTTTCGCATTGTTTTTACTTTTGACTGTCTATTTGACACCTCGGTTTCCTTAGTTTACTCACGTGCTTTATCATGTCCTCTTATTTTCTATTTAATATAAAAAACAGAATCTTTTCTAATATAAAGAACATATATGATCTTATTATTATAAAATTTATGGATAACTAATACCATTATATTTATAAAATTGAAATATAATTATTTTATTAGTATAATGGTATTAATTATATATATATTTTATAATAATAAGAACATATCTGTTTACATTTAGATGATTCTATTCTTTATATTATAAAAAAAGAATGAGAGAGAGAAAGAGAGAGAGAGAGAGAGAGAGAGTAACAAAAATGAAAATAGGTACTTATACAGGGAGATGTCAGTGGCATTCGGATAGTCGCAGCTTCATCGATGTCATCTCTCCTCGTGACGGTGTTCGAGGCTATTCGGCGATTTCGTCCACTGCTGCTTCCTTCGGTGACAGTAGCACTCCGAAAACATTATCTTCGAAA